GGAGGGGGAAGGGGCGCAGCTCAGGGTCAGGCCCAGCCATGGGCAGCAGTGCCCCAAGTGGAGGCCCCTACCAGGCCCGTGGGGAACCAATTTCCAGGAAGGGAAACTGAGGCCCAGGAGGGTGTGTCTGGACGCAGGACCCTCCCTCTAGCTTGCTGGGCAGCAGGTGTCCCCACAATGAAGCTGGGTGCTGCCTCTGGGGTGGCTCTAGGAACTCCAGCCAGTTCAGGGCCCCACAGCCCCACCTGTGGACAGCCTGCCTATAGTCCTTCCCCCTCCAAATGCCACTGGGGCCATCGGGGTCCCTGCCACCAGGGCAGCCTGTCTAGAGGCATGCAGGGTGGGGTGCTCCAGCACACAAAACACAAACCCACACAAATGAACCCTGACTCTGACCCCAACGACCCTGTAGGGCAGAGAAGCTTCGGGGCTGTAACTTTTGAGGAAAGCACACAGCCTCATCTTTCTCCCACAGAGGGGCCAGTGGGTTCGAACAGCCCACCTTCTAGTTAGAAGCGAGCTCTTCACCCCCGCCCTGCCCCCAAAGGGAGCAGGGAGGCATGGCCAGGAGTGAAGGTGAGGCCTCCCCTGGGGCCCTGCTGGCTCACCTTCGTAGCAGTCCCGCACCGAGTCGAAGTAGACATAGTACTGGTGGTCCCCCAGGAGGAGCAGGCTGAGCCAGGAGTCCACAGCATAGATGGGCACGATGAAGAGCAGGCGGATGATGTAGCGCTGCTCGTGGGGGACGGTGTAGGAGCGCAGGTGCAGGTAGATCTGGCAGGGTGGAGGGAAAGCCCAGAGTATGAGGAGAGAGGGGCAGGGAGCCCCCTTTTTGGACCTCTGCCTTTTATGTTGTCGGCTCTGTCAACTCAACTCTGACTCAAGGACCCCACGTGGCAGTCGAGCTGCCCAGGGAGGGCTACAGGCTGCTGTCTGGACAGGCTGGACGGCCAGGCCTTTCTCCCAAGGAACGCACCACTGGGTATGTCTGCTCACCAACCTTTCCGTCAGCAGCCGAA